TGTGGGTGTGGCTTACTAAGTCTACTGCTATTGCTATTGGGTGTGGTGTGGCTTGGTGGGGGTGGCTTGGTGGGGGTGGCTTGGTGGGTGTGGCAGGGGGAGGGTTAATGTAAAATCTCTATTCCCACCCCACTCCAAGGGAAGGTTACTGCAAAATCCCCATTTCCTCCCGATCAGCTGGGACTCGGGAGGCAGAGAATAGATGGGGGTGGGACCAATCAGAGGTGGTATTTACCAGTTCTCCGAATTACTCAAAATTTCCGCTACAGGTTCTCCAGAATTGGTCAGAACCTGCTGAATACCCCAAACATGTTGTAAGTGCAGCTTTTCATGAGTACAGAATATTCTAGTAGAAAAGAGGGACTACAACGCTTCCTACTTTAATGATTTCTAAAACTTGAATCTGACTATTTCCTTGCTACTCTGAACACCTCAAAGAGTGAACAGATAATGTTCACTCTTTGAATGTAATGTAATGTTATGGAAAATAATATTCTTCCCAGAATACAGGGCAACTCATAGTTAATGCTTAAAAAAACCCTAGAATTATTACATTGTTCTTAATGTCTGCCTGAAATTTGATTCGAATTTAGACACCCAGTCTGGTTTAGTTTAGACACATTGGAAGGCGGAGATTAGATGTGGCGATTGTGTATAATCTTATACAATTATGTTATACAGCATATGGTATTTTCTATTCCTGTTATTCCATAAGGTTTAACTTCTCAGAAAGTTACTTCCTAGGATGAATAGTGGGAATTAATAATACTGACTTAATAAGCACTACGGGTAGTACTCGACTTACAACCATGATTGAGCCCAAAAATTCTGTTGCTATGTGAGACAAGTGAGGTTTCCCCTATTTTACGACAGTTGCCACAGTTGTTAAGTGAATCACTGCAGTTGTTAAGTTAGTCACACAGTTGTTAAGTGAATCTGGCTTCCCAATTGACTTTGCTTGTCAGAAGGTTGCTGCTCACATGACCCCTGGGTACTGCAACCCTCATAAATAGGAACTGGTTACCAACCATCCAAATTTTGATCATATGACCGCGGGAATGTTGCAATGTTTTGTAAATCTGAAAGGCAATCACAAGTCACTTTCTTCAGTGCTGTTGTAATTTTGAATGATCAATAAATGAACGGTTGTAAGTCAAGGACTACCTGTATATTCTTATTTGGAGATGGAGATCTGGTTGTGATAACCACAGAAGCATCTAAACCAGGGATGGTGAACCTTTTCGGCACCGAGTGCCAAAAAGGGAGCACTTCACGCGCATGTGCACGCTCAACTGGGCCGTGAACAGAAAAAGGAGCTACCCAGGGGGCACGTGTGTGCCAGAAAATGAACTTCTGGTTTGCATGCATGCCGGCCAGAAGTCCCCCCGGTTACTGCCATGCATGCCCACGCACTGATCAGCTGGCCAGCACGCAAATTCACGCCGGAAAATGGAAGACCAGCTCTTTCAGTTTCTGGCACTGCCGCAAGCACAAAGGCCAGTTGATCATCACATGCGCGTGCGTGGCATTCACCAGAAAGAGGAACGGGTGACGCTATGCGTGCCAGGCAAAATGGCTCCATGTGCCACTTTGGACATGCGTGCCATAGGTTCACCATCACGGATCTAAACCAATGAAAGCTAGTGAGGACAGCAAACAATTTTGGAGGAAGGTGTAAAGTTGGGGTGAATGTTCTTGAAAATCTTAAGATCTGTTTTGGATAAATGATGCTCTTCTCTGACACTTTACAAGAAAAACGACATTCATTACTCTTATAGCAATTTACCTTGTACTGGAACATCTCTAACTGCATCCTGGTTAGTGGGAACATGGTTTGGAAGAGAAGGGGGAGCAAGGGGGGGATTGTCTTCAGTCCATTCTTAAAAAAAGGGAAGAAAAGAAAAGAGTTTTTAACTGTTTTAACCATTAAAATATATTCTACAATCCAAAGGGCATCCACGTGCAGACTAGAATATTTAAAGCACATTTGTTTTTGAAGTGTATCATCTGGAACAGGAAGTGCTGTTGGATTATTATATATAGCAGTGCCCCCCCCTCAACCTTTTGGGCATCAGGGACCGCTTCCGTGGAGAAAGTTTTTTCCACAGACCAGAGTGGGTGTGGTTTCACGTGCTGCATGCATCCTGTAGATCGGTGCCAGTCCAGGGGTCGGGGGGGGGGACCCCTGATGTATAGGATACAACCCCACAATGAACCACTCTGGTTTCGTACATTGTACATTGTTAATGCAAACTCTTTGTGTCTCTAGAGACACAATCCCCTTCCTGCGACTTCCTTCAGAAGACTTGTCACTACAGATTTTATGGGCGTCCCTCAAAGTCTTCTCAGGAACAAGTGTAGCAAATAGTAATCCATCATCTCAACTATGCCTGTGACCAAGCATAGACACCACCATTAACCTGGCGTCACCAACCTTGGCAACTTTAAGCCTGGCGGATTTCAACTCCGAGCAAGGCTGGCTGGGAAATTCTGGGAGTTGAAATCCACCAGGCTTAAATAAGCCAATGTTGGAGACCCCTGCCATTAACCAAGGAAAAGCTGGAAACCTGAGGGGGAGGCCAACCAGTGGATGGAACATACTGGCCGCTATGAGCTGCCTCATTACCTATCACTACAGGTGTAGACATGATCTTAGAATATATATGTTATTTAGACTGTCACCCTTACATTCATTTACTTTTGTGTATCAGAAAATCGACAGAGAGAAATGATTAATGGAAGAAAGTATTGAGCTATAACAGATATGATTTATCCATTAATAATATATCCATTAAACAAATTTGTTCCCCAGAAATTATTTGGAGTCATTGCTTTCTGAGGCCTCTTTCCTGTATCAGAAAACAAATAAAAGTCCTATATTTCTGTATCTCACAACAGAGAGAAACTGAGATTTCGCTTTTCAAATTGTGAGAATAGCAGAGGCAGCATCTAAGCAGGACAGATGGAGAAAGAAGAGAAAACCTGTGGATATCCAAATTACTATTTTAGTACCTTTCTTAAGAAACCTTTGGGTCTTTCATGATGCACCATTTCACAATAATATTAGATTTTGATTCTTTACCTTTCCCCATTAATATCTGCCCATCTTTCCTGGACCACTAGAGATCACCTGCTGAGCATTTTGCCTATCCTTCAATCTACTTCCTGATAGGAGAGACCCAACAGTAAGCATTCAGGACAATAGTGGGTTCCGGATCCCTTTGCAATCGGGCCCGGTGTCCACCATCTGCACGCATGCATGCGTACTTACTGCCTGCAACGCTCCAGCTGCTCGGTGGAGTATCGCGCAAGCACCGTATGCTCCGCGTGCATGTGCAAAAGTCCCGATCAGCTCAAATACAGGTAAGGAGGGAGGGTGGGCGGGCCCTCCGGAGCACCATACTGGAACGATACCTGGCGCGCCCAGCAGGCACCGATACGCCCGTACCGGGGCATGCCAGTCGTATCCCACCACTGATTCAGGAGCAGTTAATTCTAAATAACATATTTGCTCCTCATTCTCATGGCTTCTAGAAAGAAGTGAAATGTGGCTTTTCTTTTGTACATGAGTTGTTCTTATGAAGTAAATACCAAGCATCTGAAGGGAGGGAGTCAAGCAAGGGCTGAGCTTAGACTGATTATGCTGCTGTAAACGGCATAAGCATGACCTCCCCCACAATCCATGAAGCCTTATCTGGTCATTCTCAGGGGAAACGAGCAATTTAGTGATAAACAATAAAGTTTTCATAAGTGGTTTTAGTTGCTTATGCCTGGACAAGTTCCAGACAGTACTTTTACATTTTGATCATTTTTAGCTTTCTGTTTTTAGTCACTTTTTTTTTTCTTATTTAATTCCTGCACTGTAAGCCACCTGGAGTCCAGCTGGTTTCAGGCAGTCAGATAAGGATATTAAAATACAAAAACACACAAACAAATAATGCTACCTTGTTGTTATAATGAATCAATATAGTTTGGGATGGCATCTGTTTGCTTTGGAACAATTTTAATATAGTTTTATGTCAATTTGTACATACATAATGCAATTGTATTAGCTTCAAGCTCTGCTCAAATGTTTTTGCAGCCTTATCTTTTTGTCTTTCATAAGTGTACATGTGTATGAGTGGTGGGTGCCAGATCCTGTCGCAACTGGTATGCTGTGACGGGGCTGGGCGTCCACCATGTGCACGCGCGCTGCACACGCATGCGCACCCACCACCCTGCGCCACTCCAGCTGCTTGGCAGAGCATCGCGCAGGCGCCATAAGATGCGTGCATGTACGCAAATAGCCAGCTTGGCTCAAATACAGGTAGCGAACGTGGGCAGGCTGGTGGGCCCTCCAAAGCACCATTCCAGTACAGTGCCTGCTGCTCCCAGCAGGCACTAGTACGCTCGCACCAGTACGCCCGTACTGGGGCGTACCGCCTGGAACCCACCACTGATGTGTATATGTGAATGTTCGTGTGCGATTACAAGAACTGAACATGGCATTTTGTGAACTAAACATGCAGAATACCCATCAGGCTCCATTTCTTTCACTAAGAATGCTTTAGACATGTCTCAAGCATGCCGATTTCAAATTCAAGTTTCAGTGGTTAAATCACAACGGCCATAGAGACTCCCTATAGAGTCCCAAAGAGACTTTTTGTAATGGCCGCATAACAGTTTGGGTGAGCAGATTATTTGTCTCAAATATTCCAGTTAAATAACCTCACGTTCCCTGTGTTTTCATGCAGGAAGGAAGCCAGGCCTGTCCAGATATTTATCAAAAATATGAAACTTTACAGAAGTCTGTATGCCTGGTATTCGGCCAATTTTTCAACCCTGGCAATTCTATTCAGGAGGTGCCAACCTTCAGATGGTTGTGCTGGAGGCTGTGCTGGGGGAGGCTGCTGTTCAAGCTGCTTTTTTCTTTTGGCTTCCAGAACTGGATTCTCATATTGTGTTTTCCTGTTGATGTGGCTAAAAAAGAAAAGAAGACACAGCCATTAATAAGGGAACGCTTGGTGCAAAGTGTAAAAATGATAGGGAGACTTAAGATATTTTTTTAAAATCCAACATTAGATGTAAAACGCAGGAGCAATGCTCCTTTAATAGATTAACAGAATTGGAAGAGCCCTTGTAGGTCATCTAGTCCAACCCCCCGCCCAAGCAGGAAACCCGACACCATTTCTGACAAATGGCAGTCCAATCTCTTCCAGCGATGAGACTCCCACAACTTCCGAAGGCAACTTCTGTTCCATTGGTTGATTGCTCTCACTGTGAGAAAATTTCTCCTTATTTTTAGGTTGAATCGCTCCTTGTTCAGTTTCCATCCATTATTCCTTGTCTAGACTTCGGGTGCCTTGGAAAATAGCTTGCCCCCACCTTCTCTGTGGCAGCCCCTCAAATATTGGAACACTGCTATCATGTCTCCCCTGGTGCTCCTCTTCATTAGACTAGCCATGCCCAGTTCCTGCAACCGTTCTTCATATGCTTTAGTCTCCAGTCCCCTAATCATTCTGGTTGCTCTTCTCTGCACTTTTTCTAGAGTCTCAACATCTTTTTTATAGTGTGGTGACCAAAACTGGATGCAGTACTCTATGTGTGGTCTTACTAAGAGTGGTTTTAGTACCTCACTTAGTACCTTTACTTTGTGCCAAATGCTGATCTATGAATTGCAACAACTTATCTGACATAGCAACTTTCAAATAGTCTAAAAAAGTACAAACCCAAATAGGCTTGGCTTGGTGAAATTTCAAATAATTAGCTTCTCTAAAATATCTGATCAAAATACTGGATGGTCTTAAAATACCTAATTTGTGCTTCGTCAGCCAAGGAAACAAAAACTAGAAATCTGCCTGGAAGGCTGTTAAAAAAAACCTATAAACCCAGTACTATAAATTAATAGTCCTCATAAAAATCTCTTAAAATTAGTAATTGGAACTTTTCAGATATTTCACCATAAATTCAGGTTAGAAGACTACATAAAAAATGGAAACATATTCTTTATAACAGGCAGTCCTCAACTTACAACCACAACTGAGCCCAAAATCCATGTTGCTAAAGTGAGTTTTGCCCCATTAATTATGAACTTTCTTGCCAGAGCTGTTAAGTGAATCACGGCAATTGTTAAGTTAGTTACAGGGTTGTTAAGTGAATCTGCCTTCCCCATTGATTTTGCTTGCCCGAATGGTGCAAAGGGTGATCACGTGACCTCAGGATATTGCAACCGTCATAAATACATGCCAGTTGCCAAGCATGCAAATTTTGATCACATGACGACAGGGATTCTGCAAAGGTGGTCACTGTGAAAAATGGTCGTCAGTCACCTTTTTCAGTGCCGCTGTAACTTGGATGGTCTTAATTTTAGTGGATTGTCATTAAATAAACTATTGTAAATCAAGGACTACCTGTATTATAAAATTAAACCACTACAAGTATCTTAGTAGAGAGGTTTCAGGTCCAGAAATTGATATGGTAGGTATAATCTGTCCCACTTGTAACCTGCATCAGTATTACCAACTCATAGTCTCCTCCTTACTTACCCCCGGCCTCATCCCAATTTAAATCCTGTATCCCTCAACCAATTCTATGCATATTTTTTTTATTATTATTAAAAAAAAAACTACATACTTCTTTCCAAATGCAAATATAGTACTTGGGGCACTTAACACAATATTAATCATAGCATTAATCACTATTAACATGACATACTTAAAAAATCAACAGAGCAACAAGTGCAACTACAGTCTAATTAAAATTAAATATAATTTCCCAGTTGCTTGGACAAACATGATCCTCACATTTGTAATGTGAAATAGATTGTCCCTAAAAATAAAATCACAAAGTTTATTTATTTATTTATAGTATGTAAACATTGAGGCAGATTATTTGCAATGAAATTTCATTTTAGTGCATGCCAATTAGTGTACATTCAAAGTGACAATAAAGTTATTGTATCCTATCTTATCCTATCCTATCCTCTGCTCTGCTGTTCTATTTTTCTTTAAGGTAAAGGTAAAGGTTCCCCTCGCACATATGTGCTAGTCATTCCTGACTCTAGGGGGCGGTGCTCATCTCTGTTTCAAAGCCGAAGAGCCAGCTCTGTCCAAATATGTCTCTGTGGTCATGTGTCCGGCATGACTAAAATCTGAAGGCGCATGGAACACTGTTACTGTCCTCACATTTACCTTCCCACCAAAGGTGGTTCCTATTTTTTTATTTGCATTTTTACATTATTTCGAACTGCTAGGTACAAGTAACTGCTAGGGACAAGTAAAGGGGGCTCACTCCATTACATGGTGCTAGGGATTCGAACTGCCAACCTTTCTGATTGACAAGCTCAGCGTCTTAGCCACTGACTCACTGCATCCCCCCAGCACACGTAAAG